GGCAACCGAAATAAACCAACCGCAGAGGAGGATGAAACGAGGTAAGAGGACATTACCTAATTATATACTCGGTCGTACCTGACCTTCGACAGGGGGCTCCAATTAAAGGTCCTCTAGTGAATACAACGTTACGGGGCCTAACTCTGTTCTGCTGTTTTCATCCTTCCTATCCTCATAGGAGGAATGATAGCAATGGCAACGGCCATGGGAACGAGATTAAGGTTTAGGATGAATATGCGAGTTACCCCTGGAAGTACAGCATACAGCACAGCAATAAGCTCACAATGTGAGATGATGTAACTATAAAGTACGCCCCCTACAAAGAGCGACCTGGTAGATGCGCTGGACCAACATCAAGGGTTAGAGTTAGGACACAACAGGCGTTATTGGGGATGCGTACACATAACAAATAGTGGACATTGTCAGCCAAGACGGTCAAACTGTGGCTTCACACAGACTTACGGAGACGAGGTTTGAGCAAAGCCCCGAAATCTGACGTGCATATGGGTTTGATTATCGGCTACCGTCTAAAATATTTGTGCCAAACAATTACAGTTACTGAAACAAAAGAATAGCCCGGTTTCGATGGTCTGAAACACTGTGCAATTCCAAAACGGTGAGGCGGGTTGTGATAGCTTATTCTGAGTACCCGGAGTGAAGTGAGAAAAAAGACGTCTCGAGTCCGTCCCTCGGTAAACATATTATAGTTGTGCGAATTTACTACTTATTAAATGTTTCGGTTGGTATGATCCGCCTGTGCGAAGACCTCGTTATAAAATCAGAAAGATGGGATAAAAGTACAGATGAAAAAGTACATGCCTGAGAGACCAATTGATACATTGCTTCCACCAGTCGTTGTCTGTTGTATCACGGTGTGAATCGCTTTCACGGCTGCGTCAGAAAAACTGTCCAGATCGTCATTGATAATAATGCGAGGCATTATAAGGAAAAGAGTAGGTATGATATCACCCGGTTTCACTGTAGGAGGCGCTTTATATGACAGCGACAGTTACTGAGGCTGAAAAGAAAGAAAAATTAGTTGCGAGTACATTGAAAATGTCAAGAACGATCGCAAACGCGGTCCCCTAAGGACATACGACTAAAGCACGAACTTATATTTGTCAATTAGATGCTGAAGAGGTGTAGGAAAAATGGTATCATTAGGTTTCTATAAATAAAATTTGGTCTACTGACAGTTGTCTTTGGTGCAAGGATAGAAACTTCAAACACGCGTGCAGGCAAAGATTTGACGATGCTGCGAATATGCATTCCAAACTTGTTAGCTATGTATATCTCGA